GTTTAAGATGAAATAGGAAAGATTCTTTGAAGAATAAAAAATAAAAAAAAAAAAAAAAGAGCAGCATTTATTGAAAATAGAAAGCTTTTGTAACATTATACACTACTGTTCAAAAGTTTGGAGTCAGTATTTTATATATTTTTTTTAAGAAATGAATGCTTTTATTCAGCAAGGATGTGTTAAATTGATTAAAAAGTGATTATAAAGACTTATATTGTTAGAAAAGATTAATATTTTAAATATAAAAATACTTTTTAACTTAAAAAAAGGAAATGCAAATTTCTATTTTGAATAAATGCTGTTCTTTTTTACTTTTATTCATTAAAGAATCCTGAAATAAAGTTTCACAGGTTCCAAAAAAATATTAAGCAGCAAAACTGTTTCCAACATTGATAATAAATCAGAATATTAGAATGATTTCTGAAGATCATGTGACACTGAAGACTGGAGTAATGATGCTGAAAATACAGCGCTGCATCACAGAAATAAATTACAGTTTAACAGATATTCACATAGAAAACAGTTATTTAATTTGCAATAATATTTCACAATATTAGTGTTTTTTGTGTGTGCATTTTTGGTCAAATAAATGCAGCCTTCATGAGCAGAAGAGACTTCTTTAAAACACATTACAAATCTTACTGATCCCAAACTTGAACAGCAGAAAAGTGCTCTATAATTTGATGTATAATTATTATTATTATATAATGTTTTTATATTATTGTAATGAACATAATTACTATTATAGTATGTGTATTTGGCTCTAGCAGAGTAACTGTGGCTAAGGAACAGTGATAATATCACATGATAATACCATGGTATTCTGATATATACATGTAATTATATTCATATACCTCCGTATCATATCAGAATACCATGGAATACATGTCAAAAAGCAGCACGGTACGTTTAATTAGTAATAAATCTGATTCAAAATCCATATGAACTAAAAAGTCGTTAATATTTTTCAGTTTTTAGCATGTTTTAACGTTACCTCCCCCTTTTCCAGCCAGTCTGGACTGTATTTGAGTTTCCCCTTCGGAGAGCTTTTCAGAGCTTCTAAAGTTTCCCATCGTAGATTTTCAGACGGCATTTTGGAGGCATTAAAGCGTTTTTACCCCACACCGATTTACTTGATTTGTTATTGAAATTAACTGCAGACACCGGAATAGATAAACAAACTTCCACTTCCGCCTCACCGTGACTACAAAATAAAAGTCTGAATAACAAAATAAATACGCGTATCGATAATTCTTATACTCTAATATATAATACAGACGCGTACATAGAATGTGAACACGATTACATTATAATTAAAAAAATATATATGTAATTTAAGGCAAATATTAATTTATTTGACATTGTCAGTAGATGGTAGTGGAGAGAACTAAAGTCACCAGAGAAGAGCACGCAGTATGGCAGGGTCACACTCACACTGGAGGGTCAGTCTAAGATCATTATATCGGTATTTTTCATTAAATGTTGATTAAGTAACTCGTTGCGGTTGCATTGTAAATATAGTGCGATATCACGTAGTGAAGTGAACTTCACTCGCACAGTCAGGCCTAGATATATGTTTGTGTACTCAGGATTGTCAACTGAAACGAACACTTACATAAATACTGTGTTATTACTTTGGTAAAACCATGGTATTTTTCATAAATGTTGTATATTTACAAAAAGGTAAAGTACTGAGGTAATACTATGGTACAGTGAAAGGACTTTTTGTAAGTGTAATCTTTCAGTACTACAGTATACATCAAAATATCAGATCATACATGTTTGTTTCTTCATCAGATTTGTAGAAATGTAGCATTGCATCAGTGTCTCAGCAATGGATGCTCTGCAGTGAATGGGTGCCGTCAGAATGAGAGTCCGAACAGCTGATATGCTGTGCAGTGAATGGGTGCCGTCAGAATGAGAGTCCGAACAGCTGATAAAAACATCACAATAATCCACAAGTAATCCAGACCACTCCATTCCATCAGTTAACATCTGGAGAAGACAAAAGCTGTGTGTTTTGTAACTTTAAACCATTGCTTCTGGCCAAAATACGAGTCTGTAATCCATAATAACGCTTTCTCCAGTGAAAAAGTCCATCTTCTGTTGTCTCTCACATCAAAATCCACTCACATATTTGTTTCTTATCTGTTTTGGCTTGTAAACTGTGCTTGATCTGTGCAGATTTCTCCTGATTCAGACCAGATGACTTTTTCACTGGAGGAAGCGCTATTATGGATAGAGGACTTGTATTTTAGACGGAAGCAATGGTTTAAAGTTACAAAACATCTTATTGATGGATTTATTTCTTACAAACACACAGCTTTTGACTTCACAAGACGTTAACTGATGGACATCTCCTGTTGTCTCTCACATCAAAATCCAGCCACATATTTGTTTCATATCTGTTTTGGCTTGTAAACGGTGCTTGATCTGTGCAGATTTCTCTCCTGATTCAGACCAGATGACTTTTTCACTGAAGGAAGCGTTATTATGGATAGAAGACTCGTATTTTAGCCGGAAGCAATGGTTTAAAGTTACAAAACATCTTATTGATGGATTTATTTCTTACAAACACACAGCTTTTGTCTTCTCAAGACATTAATTGATGGACTGGAGTGGTGTGGATTACTTGTGGATTATTGTGATGTTTTTATCAGCTGTTTGGACTCTCATTCTGACGGCACCCATTCACTGCAGAGCATCCATTGCTGAGACACTGATGCAATGCTACATTTCCCATGAACAAACAAACTCATCTACATCTTGCATGGCCTGAACGGGAGCAATTTTTGGATGAACTGTTCCCTAAAAGGATATATTTTTCATTTTGTCCACAGCCACCACGTTCATGTGACGTCTACTGGTGTGAATTCAAGCACTGCAAGAGTTTATTTAACAGATTCCATGAATACTACTCCTATGGCAGAGCACCGGACTGCCAGCAGTGGAAAGAAGACTTTTACACCTGCAAAGAGTGGGAGAAAAACAACAGCACACAGGCCAAGGTGAGCCTAGACCAATGTAGGACCGTATGTCGCTTCTAGGTTTAGGTCTCACCCAAATATCGCTTACTTTCTTTCCTTCTACTCATCTTCCATCCCATATGCACCATTAGAAATCCCTCCAGGAGAGCGAGAGGAAGCGGGTCGCTGAGCAGAGGAAGTTCACTCCGGTCTGGGAGCTTCGGCAGACGCCTCCGGCTGATTGGCACCTGCCTCTCAACCAGGGCAAACCACAGGACTCATAAAGGACTATTTGTGACGCAAGAAAGTACTCGAGTTGCATGAACATCTGCTGGGAATCTCCTCACACTACCTCTCCTGGACTGATGCACTTCTGTCCTGTTGCAGATCTGATTTGCTCAGTGCAAAAAGCAGCTTAAAAAGTCTTGATCAAGTTGGTGCAGAACCCAAATATGGAATTAATAAAGTCAACGTTGAAGTATAAGCATTTCATGAGAAAGTCAATATATCTGTTACGGGGCGAACGAGACATGAGACTTGCGGATCCATTTGCAAAGCTTTAATAGGAGACAGAGACGTGGTCATAAAACAGGCATGGGTCAGACAATGGCAAACAGGTATATTAAGGGCAAGACAGAAGAGTAATCCAAAACGGGCGTGGTCGATAAGCGGCTAACAATATCCAGAGGGCTTGACATGAGGGGTATTCAATAACACGAGCTAGAGTCCAGGCGAGGTGCAAACACAGTCCGAAACAGCAGGCAAAGGGTTAACTCAAGATAAACAGGCAAAAATCAGAAGACGAAGAAACGGACAAGGCTAGGCTAGGCTAGGCTAGACTAGACTAGACTAGACTAGGAAACTTAAAGCAGGCTCCATAACGTAGCTCTCACAACTAGCAATATGTGCATACAATACTCGGCAATTTGAAAGGGATCTGAGTGAGTGTTATATAGTGAATGTGTGATTGGTTACAGCTGTGTGCAATCAGTGCTGTGTGCAATGGATGATGGGATATGTAGTCCGGGATGACATGCAACAGTTTGTGTAGTGCGAGAGTCAATGTAATGGAAGGGTGACCTCTGGTGGTGATTGAACGGAAGTCCATGGACAGAATTCATGACAATAGCACAAATAAGAAAGGAATATTATCCCACTTCTGTTTATTTTCCATTTAAAATATATTGCAAAGCCACTTTTGATGTTATTTGAAAGGTGTTTTAATTCTATACACGCGTTTAGGAATGAAAACATACAATTTTACAAGAGTTTGGCCTTTATTGTTTCACTAGAGACCTTATTTATTGTGCTACAGAAATCAGAAGTGATAGTAAATAGATAATCATGAATTTATTTGTAATTATGTGTCTGTATTCCTCCCACCGTGACACCGACCACCTAAAAGTCATTGAAATCACCGGCCTGGAGCTAGAAACCATAAGAAAGGTATAAATAAGGAAACAAATCATTTAAAGGCCACACCAAGAATTGCAAAAAAAAATAAAAAATTGTATTTCAGATACACAACCTCTCTCTCGAGTTGCTGTAACGGGCGTTGACAATTATTCATTTGCAACATGATTTAATGAAACCGATGACGAACAACGATTCGCAACACAGTAATAGATTCAATTGGCTTCATTCTTCTCACAGTGCATTTCTCTGATGTTTATGACAGCTGCTCTTCATCTTCATCATCAGACCAGAAAACACTTTTAATCCATTCTCAGGCTCACCTCACTGTGTGTATACTCGTGTAATGTTGTTGTATTTGCCCTCTGGAGCCTCATAGTTTGTAATGGGAGGTGTGTAACTGGGCCCCTCGCGCTGGAAAGGGAACAAGTCCATATCTGAGCTGACCGCTGCTTTATAAAGCTCTTCTGACTCCAGCTTCAGCTCGTCCAGCGCTTGTCTCTGGGCCTCCAGAGCCTCCTCGATGGTGTCCATCTCCGTCTGGTGCTGGCTGTACTTGTATCTGGACCATTCCTTCAGCAGAAGGGCTCTGCGCTCGCTCTCCTCAAAAGAGAGTTTAGGAGCGTCACGGATCCTGGAGAGTACATTAGAGTCAATTTAGTTCGAATAACCTAATTGCAATAAAAAGAGGTTCCGGCCTTGTTTATTTTTCCCCCCTTCTTTGTACCATGTAAAACATTTTCTTAAAATCAATAATTAAAGTTAACAATACAAGCAGTTTGTTCGATATTTTTGGTGTGTTTTACACTACTAGACAAAATTTTGAATAATTTTAAATGTTTTTGAAAGAAGTTTCTTCTGCTCACCAAGGCTGCATTAATTTGCACAAAAATACAGTAAAAATTTGAAATATTATTAGAATTTAAAAGGACTATTTTCTATTTGAATATATAGTAAAATGTAATTTATTTCTGTGATCAAAGCTGTATTTTCAGCATCATTACTCTTCAGTGTCACATGATCCTTCAGAAATCATTCTAATATGCCGATTTGCTGCTTAATTATTATTAGTGTTCAATTAATAGTAAAGGTATTAGTAATTCTGTTGAAAATGTTTTTGCTGCATAACATTTTTCATGATACTTTGATGGGGTTTTCTCCCAAAATTATTTGAATCAGACAAAATACAGATAAATGACATTTTAATATACATATTCAAATTGAAAACAGTTATTTTAAAGTGTACAAATTTTTACACTATTACTTTTACAACTGTTTTCAACATTGATAATAATCAGAAATGTTTCTCGAGCAGCAAATCAGCATATTAGAATGATTTCTGAAGATCATGTGACACTGAAGACTGCAGTAATGATGCTGAAAATTCAGCTTTGATCACAGGAATAAATTATATTTTACTATATAATCAAATAGTTAATAGTCCTTTCAAATTCTAATAATATTTCACATTTTTACTGTTTTTACTGTATTTTTCTGCTAATTAATGCAGCCTTGGTGAGCAGAAGAAACTTCTTTCAAAAACATAAAAAAATTATTCAACATTTTGTCAAATAGTTAATAATAATTGTGTTTTTCTGCATTTTTGATCAAATAAATGCAGTCTTGGTGAGCAGAACAGATGATTCCAAACACAATTCCCATTCCACACGTACATGTAGAAAACAGTAAAGAATAAATGGCGTGTGTCCAGACTTTTAATTAGTGGTTTAGTTAAGGATGTATCATTTTATCATTTTACCTGGTCTCGTCAAAGCACTTAGCTGGTGTAATAAAGTCTTCGATGGGAATCAGTTCTGGTGGAACTTTCTCCAGCCTTTTGAGCTTCTTCTTCAGACGTTCTTTCATCATTATCTCTCGCCGCGGGTCCACCTTCTTCTTCTTCTTGGGTTCTGCTCTGTGGAGTACAAGCAGCATTTACCGGTATTAATGCATTTATTACAGTGAAACACCTTTACAAAAATATATTTACAAATATTTTTAAACTCTCTCTCTCTCTTTAGAGTTTATATATATATATATATATGTGTGTATATATATATATATATATATATATATAAACAAAAAATATATATCTTGCAAAATATGGTATGGTAAAATACTATGGTGATTTACATTAGGGTATAGTTTGTATCTGCACTGACCTTAATGGTATTGAGGTTTTCAGGGAAAGCACTGATGTGAACCAGTGACTGTGTCTGACAGCAAGCACAGAACTGCTACTGTAAAAGAGTAATTAATCATCATAATCATCATAATAATGACCTCTGTGAGAGATATACTGATAAACACATGCACATGGATATCTAAAGTCAAATACGTACCATGACGCTTGACTCGATATAATCTGGCTTGCAGTACGACACACAATCCCCGCCATAACTTACAGCATTATCGACTTTACAAACATCAATGCTGAGAAATTAAAAAGTGTTTTACACAGGTTTACAAGTGTGTTTATTTTACACACCTTCCGGTGCCCAGCGTGGATCTGCTGCAGGTCACTATCGTCCGCTATTGCATACGCACTTTCCGCATTAATACATTTTCGTCTTCGAATGATATCAAGTATAATTAAATATCATACTTATTACATATATATTTTAAAATGTAAGTTTACATGACAAGTGAGATGTTATTTTGCGTAATGTAATATTTTAGAGGTTTGTCGAATGTTGTGAAGTGAATGTTGAGGGTAAGTGGGTGAAAGGTCAGCGCGGCGGTTTGTGTGTCTCTCAAACGGTCACAATCGCGATCATGTCTCTCCTGAGAGGTAAATAAATCAACTCTATATCTTTTACTTTGAAATTAGGCACTATATTTAAAACGGCTCAAATTATTTGTTTATTTAATGTGGTTTTGCGCTTGTTTTCTGCACTGCACGTGAACTTCAATGTCACTTTTATTATTAATATAACGTTACTTTAATTCTGTTTCTTATTTGAATTTATTTGCTCGTTTTATTTTCCCTACCTGTAAAAACAGCTCTGAAATATTCGTAGTTTATTGAAATTTACTGAGCTAATTATTAAGATATTCAACTGAAGCATCAGATCAAACTGTGTATAAAAGTCATTACCTGTTTTTATACAGTCTGTGGTCATTACTGACAGAATTAGGTTAAAGGTGAGGTCAGTGACACTTGTAATGTTTACTTTTTATCCTTACCTATCTAATCCTGAGACCCAGAAAAAAAGTTTTGTGAATTGTGTTGTTTTTTGTCATTACATTGGTTGGAGCATAAGAAACAAACGGAGATTTTATTTATTTATTTAATATATATTTTATTCATATTTTATTCTATGTCTTTTGTAGAGGACGCCAGGATTAAGTTATTAAATAAATAAATAAATGAAAACAAAAACAATGATTTATTTTTTCATTCACCAATCAGTTTTTAGGTTTCAGGCTATTTTTAGCCAAACTTTGTACGAGGATGATTCTCAACTATGTATGTTATGAAATATATAACAAAATGATTTGATATACTATTGTACTTTATGGAATATGTGTGTAAAATGTAAAAAAAAATTCTATACAATGTATCTATACGTTGCATCTAATTTGCATATTAATGTGTTCTTGGGGAAAAACATAATGAAAAAAGAAGTTTAATAATGGGAGCAATAACCTGGCAACATTTTTATAAGAATATCTCATATTTCATAGGAATATTGATCTATAACTTCTCGTTGTGTTTCTCCAAAATGCCTGATTAACAGCCGCTTGTCCTGGTGTCCTCTGCAGAAGTATGAAAATTATCCCCTGTTTCATAACAAAAAGTCAGAATTGGATCTGAAACCCCGTAACATTTTTCTGAGATGTTTATTTACGACAAACAATTTGAACATCAGCCAGATTTAAATGATCATTACAAAACATTATCATATTTCCCTAAGAGTGCTAAATCTGATCATTCTGTCAATATCAGTCATATTTAGAGAACAAGGAGAGGGAGTTTATGATCAAACATTTAATATCTCTAAAAAGCCCTGAATGTGCTCTGAACAGAAACTGTGGCGTGTAGCGTCTCAGAGAAATCCACTCAAATATAATGTCCTCAACAGAAGTCTATAGAAACTGTGTATGTTGGTTATAATGCAATAATGTCTATATTTTGTGTAATAAAGTGTTGATTTCCTATTGGTTAACTGCAGGAAGGAAGCTAACCAGCTCTCTCTTCTGTGTGTTTGTGTAGGTGTGTTCATCGTCTCGGCTAAGCGGACGCCGTTCGGGACGTATGGAGGGGTCCTGAAAGACCACAGCGCTACGGATCTGGCTGAACACGCCGCTAAAGCTGCTCTCGTCGCGGGGAACGTGGCTCCTGAGCTGGTCAACAGTGTCATCGTGGGAAACGTCATGCAGGTGAGAGACTAACGACTGGAGACACACACATTATAGGAGTCCTGACCAGTGCAAATAGCTGATAATTAGTTATTTATTTATTTAGAGGGTTTAGGTGATAATCGTTATGATATCTCTTTCAGTAACAATAATGATGATGATGATAATAATAATAATAAAAACAATAAAAATGTCAATACGTGCACAAAATGCAGCATCATTTCAAATTTGTGTTATATATATATATATATGTGTGTGTATATATATATGCAGTTTTTTAATATTATAATATCTATTTAAATTTTTTTATCTAAGTTATACAAATAAATACAAGTACTGCAGTACAGTTGAGCATCAAAATATTATATTTTTTTTCAGAAGAAAAAGATGGATGACTGCTTGATGCATTGAAACATGTCATGCAAAAATACTTTTTCACTATTGATCTATTCAGATTTATTATTAATCTAGACTAAGTGTTATTTTAGTATCATTGAGATACTATTATAGGTTTAATTAATATTTTTGTATTTTAATTTTAAAGAAATGTTGTGTTTTTATCATTTTAAGTATTTTTTATGTATTTCTATATTATTCTCATTCATTATTATTTCAGTTTAAGCTATTTTAGTACGTCAAGTTAAACTAAAATGAGAAAGGATGCCTTCTGTAATTTTATTTTAGTTAAAGTGCCCCTATTATGGGTTATGAAAGGTTCATATTTTGGTTTTGGGAGTCCCCAACAACAGGTTGACATGCATGCAAGGTCAAAAAATACTTTCGTTGTCTTATAATATGCATTTATTTTTACCGTACTTGCTCAAAGACTCCCAAACGATTCATTTTTCCAAACCCCTTCTTTGTGTGACGCTAATCTGCGGTGATTTGTCCGATTGGTCTCATTTTCATTGCATCATGGCTGTAATGCCTGATAAAGCAGCGTTTGTCAGCAGTGCTGCTTTGTGTACAGCGTTACCGGGGAAACCGCTATTATTACCGCTCCAAAAGCGGCACCTAGTGGCAAAGAATGAATTTGCATTTTCATTCAGACCAACACGAAAAGACCAACAATTGGGCAGGCAATATGCTAATGTTTCATGTTGAGGTCAACATGAAACGGCTTGGGATTCGTTTTAAAAACGACTCGTTTCAGTGATTCAGAGTCGACTCTTTCTTTTGAGGGATAATAACATCATACACGGTGCACTTTCAGATTTAAAATGGTTTCAGGTTTTAATTTTAGTTTCAGCTTTAGTTTTATTTAACTATAAGGTAACACTTTATTTTAGGGTCTCTTAACTAGTTGCTTATTAGCATGCATATTACTAGAATATTATCCATTTATTAGTACTAATTAAGCACATATTAATGCCTTATTCTACATCCCTAATCTTACCAAATACCTAAACCTAACAACTACCTTACTAACTATTAATAAGCAGCAAATTAGGAATTTATTGAGGGAGAAGTCGTAGTTAATAGTGAATAAGTGTTCCCTGTTCTAAAGTGTTACCAACTATAATAACCCTGGACTAATTTGACTATACCTACTGTATATGCTCACCAGTATAAGTAATTTGCTCATATCAGGCTAATAAAAATAGAGAAATCCTGATTAGGGCTGCACGATAAATCGAAATGGAATCGAAATCGCGAAGCTGTGATTGCCATGCGTATCTTTCAGTGAAGCACGGTTCTGTGATCAGCAGTAAATCTCCATCCGAAGGCCAGAGGGCGCTCTCGCGCTGAAACTCTAAATACGCCTCGCAGAAGAAACCCAGAAAATGCCTATCGCTGCAGCTGAATAAACAGAAGATTCAACTGCTTTCATTGATTCAAC